ACTGTTATTTATTATGGAAAAAAATGAAGACAAGCTAAGAATCTTACTAAATGAGACTCATTAAAAAAAATAACATGGTAGATCAACTTGATGTAATATTTTACAGACACAAATTGATTATCAAACTAAAAGAATATAATGTTTCCCAAAATGGCAGACCAGGTTATTTGTATTAACATTAACATTCCTGGTATAACTAAATAACGAAGCTGAAAAAAAATTTTTTAACCTTCTTTTTTAAATCACAGAGGAAAGGTGACAAGCCAGCAAGAAATTACCAGGCCATGAGTGAAGGGAAAATGTCATCCCAGAGAGGTAACTATGGAAAATGAGGCTTTTGCTCTCAAAGCATTGAACAATCCTGAAAATTCTGAACCTTACTTTTAAAACCCTTGTGGGCAAGAAAGACAGAAAACAAAGCCCAGGGTCTGCAAAAGGTTGAGAGTCTAATAGAAGAAACTTCTCATAATATGTTGAGACTCCACGATATGTTGGGATCTCATGCCCAGAGTGAGGGTGAAGAGAAAGGAATACCATACATGGACTTACTGCCTAAATAGGGTGACAAGAACACGTGAAAAATTCAAGCCTTAAAGTAGTTGAATACCCAGGCATTTGGCAGAGGCAAATGCAAATCTTCTCTAAAGAAAAGTACTTTCATTGCAAGTCTAAATTTATTCCCACAAATATTTGTCAAATATAATGTCCAACACACACACACAAGCACAAGGCTCACAAAGAAACTAGAGTCTATGAGCAAGAACTATCAAAAACAATAGACAAGAGAAACCGATTCACAAAGATTTTGGATATTGAACAACTATGCTGGCTATAGTTAAAGAAGGAAAAGACAAGTTTGAAGATCACTATAGAGAATAGGAAATCATAAAAAGAGCTATGGCAAATTTGCAAAAGAATCTAAAAGAATTCTAGAAATAACAAATATAACAACTGACATTAAAACTCCAAAGATTCTGGTGAACACACGAGGCACTAGGAGGGTGGCATGCCCTCAGAGGGCATGGAAGCTCCATACCACTTCATCCCTCCATACTTTGGCTTATGCATCTCTTCCATTTGGCTGTCCCTGAGTTGGAGGAGAAGGCCATCTGAAGACAGAGGCAGAGGTTGGAATTATGCAGCCACAAGCTAAGGAACACCTAGATCCACCAGAAGCTTCAAGTGGCAAGGAAGGATTCTCCTTTGGAGACTTCAGAGGGAGCATGGCTCTACGGACACCTCAACCGGGACTTCCGGCCTCCAAACTCTGAGATAGTAAATTTCTACTGTTTTAAGCCAAAAACAAACAAACAAAAAACCTAAAGGTCAGATCCCCACTCTGAAGAGATGGCTCTCAGCCTCAGCTGCACATTGGAAACACCTGGGAGAGCTTAAAAGCGAAATAAGCCAAAAAAAAAAACACACCACTGATTATAAAGGATTACCATGTTTATTGTATACCAACGAATTAGATAACCTTGATGAAATGGACAAATTCCTACTAACAGACAAACTACTGAAAGTGACTCAAGAAGAAATAGACAAATGAATAGAACTATAACAAGTGAAGAGATTGAGTTAATAATCAGAAAACTACCCACAAAGCCCAGACCCAGATGGCTTCACCACTGAATTCTACTAAAAATTTAAGGAAGAATTAATGACAATTCTTCACAAACTCTTGCAAAAATTAGAAGAGGAGAGAGCACTTCTCAACTCATTTTATGAGGCCTGTATTACTCTGATCATCACAAGAAAAGAAAACTACAGACCAATACCTATTACGAATATGGACAAATTAATCCTCAAGAAAATACTAGCAAACTAAATGCAGCAACACATAAAAATAATGAAATACATAAAAATTAACTCAAAAGGGATCAACAACCTAAATGTAAGAGGTAGAACTATAAAATTCTTACAAGAAAACAAAGGGTAAATCTCCATGACCTTAGATTTGGCAAAAGATTCTCAGATATGACACCAAAAGTAAGAGCAACAAAAAAAAAAACCCGACTTCCTCAAAACTAAAAACTTTTGTGCTCCAAATGGTATCATCAAGAATGTGAAAAGAGAACCCACAGAATAAGGGGAAATATTTGAAAATCATATCTAATGTGTATCAGGGACTTATATCCACAAATATAAAGAAATCTTACAACTCAATAATAAAAAAAACCCCACAGTTTAAAGAACGGGCAAAGGGTGTGAATAGATAGTTCTCCAAGAATGATATACAAATGGCCAATAAGCACATGAAAAGATGCTCAATATCATTAGTCATTAAGGAAATACCAATCTAAACCACAATGAGATATCACTTCACCCTCACAAAAATGACTAGAATTGAAAAGTGAGATAATAACAAGTGTTGGAAAATCTGTGGAGAAATTGGAACCCTCATACGCTGCTGGTGGGAATATCAGTGGTACAGCCACTTTGGAAACCAGTCTGGCAGTTCCTCAAATGATTAAACATAGAGTTAACACCTAATACAGCAAATCCACTCTTAGGTATATATCTAAGAGGAATGAAAACATATTCCATACAAAACCTGTACATGAATGTTTATAGCAGCATTATTCATAACAGCCAAAAGGCAGAAAAAACCCAAGTGTCCATCAATGGACAAACAGATGAACAAAATGTAGTATACCCACACACATGAATATTATTCAAGTATAAAAAGGAACGAAATATTCATAAACGCTACAACATGGATATGGATGAATCTTGAAAATATTACGCTAAGTGAAAGAAGCTAGTCACCAAAGACCACATATTTTAAGATTCCACTTATATGAAATGTTCAGAACAGGGAAATCTATAGAGATAGAAAGCAGATTACTGGTTTCTTAGGCCTGGGAGTGGGAGATATGGCAACAGGGGACTGATAGCTAAGGCATACAAGATTTCTTTTTGAGGTGATGAAAATGTTTTAAAATTGACTGTGGTGATGTTTGCACATATCTGTGACTATAACAAAAAACCAATGAATTGTATATATTAAATGGGTGAGTTGTTTGGTATGTGAATTATAGCTCAATAAAGCTGTTTAATAAAATGTAATGAGGCACTCACTCTCAGGCACCAATCCTGCACTTCCACAAACCTGAAAGGGAGTGCCTCTAGATAGAAAGGGAGTACCTAGGTTCTTTGCCTCGCTTCACCCTAATCCCAAGTGTGCTCTGCATTCTTTCCCCCTTACACAAAAACAGCCGCTTTTTATTTGTTGTTATATCCCCTTCCCTCAGCAGAGGTTTTATGTAAGAGGGCTAAAAGTAGAAAGTTGCTTGCAAGATACTCAACTTCCTTGCCTGACTTTTTTTTTTTTAATACAGAGTTCACTAGAGTTTATGCAAGCATCTTTGTGAGCAACAAGAAAATACTTCCCTTTTCAGAGTAATCACATAGCAGATTGATAGATTTCCACAAAATTTAGAGTCTTAAAATAGGAGAGCGATGACAGAGAGAGGTCCTGAGCTCTGCCTGGTGGCAGCACTTCAAGGAACTGGCAAGATTTTAGAGGGGATGGCCATGAGGCTTTGGGGTTCACAGCCTCAAACAAGTTTCCTGGCCATAGCTTATGAATAGGATGCAAGGACAAAGCTGTCAGTTTTCCAGAGACCACTACGACTCTGGACAACACAGATGTTAGCAGAAACCTTGGTGAACTACAGCTATCGACTCTTTCTGTTTCCCCAGCACCATATAACGCCTGGGTGGAGAGGGGAGCCCCTGATATTGATGAAAATTTAATTTCTCACTACCCTGGTAGAACGAATCTCTTAATGAGATTTTTTAAAACAATAAAGAAATGGATATTTCTTATACACTTGAGGTTTTTCTTTTACATTTTTATTTAAATTTCATTTGGAAATAATTTCAATGAAGTTGCAAAAATTAAAATAGTGCAAAGAATGTCCATCTTTCATTTACCCAGATTCACCTATTGTTAAAATTAACCCCATATGCTTTATTATTTGTTTTTTTCTAACTATATGTTTGTATTATGTTTATATTATATAAACACACAGTATTTTTCTGAACCATTTGAGGGTAAGTTACATATATCATGATCCTAAAATATATATGTATATGGACCAAGAGAGATACTCTCTTTCATAACCACAGTTAGGGTTGCCAGATTTAGCAAATTAAAATACAGAATACCCTGGGCAAATTCCACCAGAAATTAAAGCTTCTGAGCTTTCCTTGACTAGGAAAACTAATACACTCCCTCTTCTGGACACACTTAGACACTGTTCCTGGATTTGATGAGTTCTGGTCTCCTTGGTTACCCTTCAATTCCTAAGAAATAAGTCAAAGACACTAGGCAAGGTTTCTGGTAATCAGCTTATATCTGTCACGATCTTGCTGATAAAAGTGAGGGCTCGTTGACTCTGGCATTGAATTAAAACTTGTATTTCTGTCTTTTATACTTGCCCTACATAATTCCATCTCTTGAAACTTCTATTATTTAGTAGCGTTTCTCAGAATTCAATTAACTTGAATAAGAATTCCTATAAAAACCACTTCTTATCAAATTAAAATGCATATAAATCAGCACTGGCTCTTGTTAAAATGTAGATTCTGAATCAGTATAATTGGGATGGGGCCTGAAATTTTGTATTTCTTAATAAGCTCCCAGAGGATGCAAATACACTGGTCCTCCTATCATACTTTGAGTAGCAAGTTTATAGTCACCTATGTCACAATCAATAGGTGTTTGTTAAATATGTAGGCACCTTGGCCCTAGCTCGATAACCTGACTCAGAATCTCGGGGGCAGCGTCCAAGAATATACATTTTAAACAAACTCCTAGGGAGATTTGAGAACCAATGGTCTATGGGTTTGAAACGCCCTCTACCTTTTTCTGTATTTATTAATTTTTGTCCCTCAAAGCCCAGTGCTGGTCCCTCCTGCTACTTGTTTTTATTGACCACCTCAGACTGTGAATTCTTTAACAGCTGTCTGCAGCAAGCATTTACTGTTTATCACTGGCTATCTTTGCTCGCACATATCCTGTTCCCAGACAGATTTTACTCTTTGAAACGAACAATTATGTTACATACTTTCTTGTAGCCTCAACTCCTAGCATAATGCTCAGCAGAGTAAAAGTTTAATGTTTGTCATGGACAACAATGGTGATGATAGTGAACGATGAATTTCTCTCCAGGACATATGGTTGTTTCCCAGGCCTTCTGTGATTAACAGAACCTGCTGACTCCACAGAGGAAACACGTAATGCTTAGCTAAATCTCTAACTCCCAACTAGGCGCGTTATTTTTCAGGAATTGGCTCTACGATCATGTTGTACCTTGGGAGTCTGAATTTTATTATGGTAAATGGCACTTTAAAGGAAAGAAAGTAATACTTTGAATTTATTATGTCTTTTATCTGTGAACCTCAAAACACTCTAAAGCCATTTATTAAGTTATTGTAGCCAAGGTGTAAATATTATTATATCCTCCTTACAAAAAAGCTGACTAGGGAAAGAGTTGTAAGATACTTGGTTAAAAATCATAGAGCCATTGCAAGAAGGCCAAACCAAGAAAGTCAGGAGCAAAGAGCGAGAGGTAAGCACTTCTCAGCATCTCCCACACCTCAGGTTGTGTGACTTGAAAGGTGAACGTTCCATAGAAGAGAGGAGGCTAAACGAACAAGAAATTTAAAATTATTCCAGTAATCTTTCTTCTTCCCACGTATCCCTGTCACCACTGCTCTTTGTCTCTCTCTTTTGACGCTTACGCGTCCTCACTTACGTTAGGGTTAAAAGGTGACCCATCTTCCCTCCTTCACAACTTGTTCTCTCTACCTCCTCATCCACTGCAGCAGCACAGCAAGAAGTGCCAGCGGAGGAGATCTGAAAGGAGGCTGGAATGCTGGCTCCATCACTCAGGAATTCCTTCTCTTTGAAAAAGTCGGTTCACTGTGAGGGGCAGTTTCCTCTTTGTGTGTAAAATGGGGATGGATCACGCCCACCTACCTCGCAGGATGGTTGAAGCGATAGAATGCGATTCGTAAACTGTAAAGCACTAAATGGATACCAGTTGTCCCCTCGCTGTATCAGTCCTTGTTTAATTTAATTTAAGTGCAGGGCCACATTGCGTACATAACAGTGACAGGGCGTGCCCGTAAGAAACAGCCTCGAGGGAGATCTTTCTCCTTTGAGGAAAGGGAGAGCGCGGAGGTGCTGGGAGTAGTAGTCTTTACGGCGGTCTCCGCAGACCTGGGGGGAAGAAAAGAACTACAATTCCCGTGAGGCCGTGCGGGGACAGCCCCGCGCACCCTCCCGCCAGGCGCGTTCCCCCAGGCGAAATGGGAGGGCGACCAGCGCGCGCGCCGGGGATCCGCTGAGCGAGCGCTGAGGCGCTGGGCTCGTGGTGGTTGTGGCAACTGATCGAGAAAAGGAGACGCGTGGGAATGTGTGGGGGTTGAAACAAAAGACGTGTGGCAAAAGGCAAATTAAAAAATAAAAACAGCCGTGTTCCAATCCCTCGCCACCCGGGCGGATCCTAACTCGCGCTACTGCAGGAGGTCGGGAGCGCGCTCCCGGGCTCGCGCCTCAGGCGCCGGGGGCTTAAACCAGCTGGGGCGGGGCCGGCGGCGCGGGGGGCGGGGCCTGAGGCGGCGTGTGTGCGGCGGCGGCGGCGGCCAGATCCAGACATCTGGGACTGTTGTTGTTCTTTCGCGGCGAGACCGCTCCAGTCCGCTCGCCCAGAGGGAAACCGGGAGCTGGTCTGGTGGGGAGCGGGTGGCCGCATCCCCCGTCTCTCCTGCTTCCCCAGAGCCGCGGCGGCAGCTGGCGCAAACATCCTGAGGTTGGTCTCCGATGCCCTTCAGTGAGGAGCGGGCGTCGGGACCCTGGTGAGCGCACCTCAGGCCCTCCCCCGCAACTCGGTGTCTTCGTCGCCCCCCGGGCCCGCACACCCCAGTCTGGCTGCCATGTCTGAAAACGCAGAGGGAGACCTGAACTCCAACCTGCTGCATTCCCCCTACCACACCGGGGACCCTCAGCTAGACACGGCCATCGAGCAGTGGCTCCGTTGGGATAAGGTGGGTACCTGGTCTGCCCCGCCTCCGCCCCCTCCTCCCGCAAGCTCCCCTCGCCCCCCAGTCCGCCCTTCCCGTCCCCACCCGAGCTCGGCGGGCTGCAGAGAAGATGGTTCAGGCCGCGGGGCGGGGGCCAGCGGAGCCGGGCGTTGCCACCCACCTCTGCTCGGCTGCCTCCCTGGGACCGTCAGTGGCTTCCTTTTGCAGCGCGTGAAATTGCAACACCCCTCCTTCAAGTGCGTGTCATTTCTCTTTCTCAAAAAAAACAAAAAAAAACCATCATCGCAAGTTACACCCTTCATAGAACTATTTCCTTTCCCCTTTCTTCTCCCTTGGCTTCCTTCTCTGCAAACCTGTGTGTTTTTTGGCACCCTGCTTGGATGTTTCTAACCGCTGTCCGCTTTAGTTTTGGTCTGGTGTGTTTCCCCCTTCCGTCGCTAGGTAATCGCTGGTATTTTATCACTCCCTCCTGTTCTCCTGTATCACCTTTTCTCTTGAGAAAGGTAGAGGTTTTTCTGCCGCTTTCTTTCCCGTGCCGGGAGTTATTTTCTGGAAGTATCTTGTTCAAAAAATCGTGTTTTTCAGGTTTCATATGATGTCCCTGATACAGAATTGGTTTTGCTTTACCCATTCCTCCTCTATTCTCCCCACCCCCTCCAAGTTGTTGCGGTGATTTCATCTTGTGCAGACATATGGGATGGATCTGTGAGAGCCAGAATTAAAATGCAGCTCTCTGACTTGTAAAAGAGGCCCCTGGTGGCTCCAACAGAGGAAGATGAGCCAAGCTTTTGCTTTGTCAAGTGCATTAAATGCATTTGTTGAAGTAGAGAAGGCAACATATTTAAAGTGAAATTAATGATACTGAATTAAAGAATTAGTATGGTAGTAGGTGACATAACGTGCAATTTCCTAAAGGATTAGCTTTCTGAAAAAGCTTTATTTTCACTTTGTTCAGTCATTTATGCATTCAGCAAAAAATATTTTTTGAGTACTGGATAATGTTCCAGGGCCTGTTAGTCCCACGGAATACCAGTGGTGAGGAAGATTGCAAGGGTTCCTCCCCTCAACAAGCCTTAGTTAGCAGATAAGGAAAACCAACAAATAAGCAATTACAAGTTAGTATTACTTGGTCATATGTATCTTGAACATTCTAATTCTTCCTTTGGAGTCTAAACCAGTGCTTCTCAAATCTGCGAGTTCTTACAGATCACCTGGGCATCTTAAAATGCAGATTCTGGTTTAGGAGGCTTGGGGTGGAGCCTGAAATTCTGGCTCAGAATGAGCTCCCAAGTGATACTAATGCTGCTGGTCTGTGGACCACACTTTGAGTAACAAGACTCTAGAGTATTCTGATTGAGTTACTGAACTAGAGAATTATATAGTTACTTGTTGTGAAAGCATACAAAAAAAGTGAAGATTCAAGGATTGCTCTTCTGCTTTTAATCCATTAAGGAGGAGGAAACCTAATAGAAATAGGGGAGCTAAGGCTTAGCATACAGGAAAATGATATATACCACAAACTGACTATTTAAAGGTCTTCAGCAGGGAAAGTTAACTAAATTACAAGTGAATGTTATCCTTGTATGTTTAATATAATTAATCATTTTTGCTTAAAGCCATCAGCTTTCATTGGTATTGTCAGTAAATGAATGGTTGCACTTATGTCTCCCTAAATTGAAAGGAAGATTTATGAAATTCAAAGACACATGTAGAATTGCAACACAGTTTTTACTAGTAACTATTATGTATGCCAAAGCCTTTGGCCCTTCAACAATAGAAGTTTGTTTTTCATTGCCATGGATGAGATCTTTTGTTCTCGTTAGGTGCCAGTTTTGACTATTCTTTTCCAAACGAGTCTCTTGATTGATTTTTTTTAAAAAGATTGGTTGAATGAATTAATATTTATTAATTGTCTATGCTGTGCCTAGATATTGTTGGGATATACTGAAATATAACAAGACTGTAAAATACGTATACACCCAAAAAGGCAATGCTAAGATAGCATTGGTAGTAATTAAATAGTTTAGAGGCAGTTTTTATAAGAGTTCGAAAGAGTGACCTGTGGACTGGAATGGTCACGGAAGACTTTATAAGAAGACAAGATACAAGTAAAAAGAATGAGGAGAGCCTTCATTGAAAGTGGAAGAGAAATTCTTAATTTTTATGTAAAATGTCCTCTATATACAAAGCACTGTCTGAAAACCTGTGGGAAATACAAAGATGAAATAGATATGGATCATATCTTCAAAGAACATAGAAGGGCGAAAATAAAACAAAAGCTCACAGTTGTAATATAAAGAACAAGTAATAAGTGCCCTTAACAGAGGGATAGATTTAAATAATCTTAATAATTATTTAATAAAAATAATAAATACTTAATTGATTCTTCTCTTAATGGGAGAATATACTTTTAGTTGGTAGATAAAGGTGTAGCGACTGCAGATTCATGGTGTAGGTAAGCTAGGCTGTGTCCCAGGGCACTGAAATGTAGAGTGCAGAAATGTGGAATAATAGATCAGACTTACAGCGTTTATTGCGTTACACATTGACAGCATATGTAGTCTTTTAGCGTAGAGAAACTGAGTTTAGTACCTGATTAATACTTATTTAGTGAACAAAGGAACCTATCAAATGGTGCTGATTCTTAATGACTCTGGTGAGGCACATAAGAAGTTATAAATTGATGTGAGGGCAATTTGCTACTTGCCTAGGTCACCAAAATGGCTAGTTTTACCCTTGGTGGAGTGGTATACTTTGAAAAATCTTTGTGAAAAAAGTGTTGCTTGTGCTGAACTTTCAAAATTAGTTAGAATTTAGACTTGCCAACATTGAGAGGAAGACTATTTCAAGCAGAGATAGAAACTTTAATGTGTGTACTTAGAACATTTGTTTCTGCTATAGCTTAGAGAAATTGTTGGAAAGACATGTATAGACCAGGTCATAGAAGGGCTTTAGCTTGTCTTTAGTGGCCTAGAATAAGGTGTGTGTTAAATGTTAACAAGAAAATAGTGCAACAAGACAGGGTGTTTATTGGGGTTGTCCAGGATACCCCATGTAGTTTCTGTGGAGTGGCATTCTCTTGGCAAATTTACCATAGTCCAGGATCTGACCCTCTGGTTCCTTTGCCTTCAGAGGAATTTGTTAGTCTATCTTGTCTCAGGATGGACTCACCCTACTCAAGGTCATAGAAGCTGGTGGCAGAATTCAGGATGCTATTTTATTAATTTAGGTACAGATGTAATATAAGGGGATTTGTCTCTAGTCAGGGCATTTTCTAGATGAACCCTAAGGTGGGGTCAGAGAATCAGAAGATTTTTAGTGATCACAAAATCAAATCACAGGGAGTCAGATATATGGCATAAATGTTTAACAGCATCAGCCTGTAATAAGTAAATGCATCCATCTCCATGATGGGACTATCCTACCACTGGAACCCAGGAAGTCCGTGGATCAAGATGTTCCTCCTCCAGGCCATGCACCAATGACTCTTCTACAGTGCTCTCTCCCTTCTGTGCTCTAGGGCTGACCAAGGTTCCCACTTCCTTTCTAGTTCTTCCTTTCAGTGCTTTTGTGCATTCTATCAAATTACAGGCAAGTCTTGCTGGCCTAGAAGCCAGGTTCTCTTTAACGTGACAACTATGTCCTGTATCTGATCTACTGTAAATGTTAACTTTTTGAAAGCAGTGTTATATTCAAGATATAAAGCACTGGCCAAAATTTGGGTGTGCGAATGTGTGGTTGGGGAGTAAGACGGGACACAGGGCAGAGCTGCTCAGCTAGCTTGTAGCAGCAGCAGCTCTATATTGACCAATAATGTAGAGGCAGGAATTGGCCATGGCGCTTTGACATCTAGTGAGTAGAGCACTCTTGTCTCAGAATGTAGGTCTATGTTGAGAAAGAATAAAGTGTAAAGTTAAAGATAGCTTAAGTTAGGGTTATGAAATGCCATAAAATAGAAATAAAAGACTTCAGTCTAATTCAGTGATTTTCAGACATCTAGCAGTGCAAGTTTTTCAAGCAAAATATAGCCCAGATTAAAAAAAGTGGTGAACAGATTCTCTTTGAAGTCATCATTGTGTGATGGAAAATATACCTATGAAGCACCTGTACCACAGTGGTGTAATCACATTTTATTGTATAGAGATCCAAAGAAGTTGTGGAAATTATCCATTTGTGGTACAGCCTGAACCAGAACTTGGATCTGCTACCTAGTTCAGTCCAATTTTTACAGTACTAGGCTATATTACATTTTTCTAATACTTTACTTAATTTGGTACTTAATCAATGAAGAGAACAGAATACATATGACTTTTGTAATTTTGGGAAATGTTAATACTTATTCCTTGAATTTGTGTAGTGTTTCAAACTTTATAAAATGGTCTAAGTCTCATTTGATATTCACAGAAACCCTGCATGGTAGACAGGCAAGGTGATCGTTATCTCCATTTTTACAAGTAGAGAAACTTGGGCTCAGAAAAGGAAAATGACTTGCTCAAGGACATATGGCTTTTAAGTGGTAGGGTTGGGACTAGAATCTAGGTCATCTGACTTTTACTCTAATTTTATTATCACTGTACTAGACTCTATAACCTGAATATTTAGTAAATGTTAGTAACTTGTAAACCAAGTTTCAGGGACCTCACTGAAACCATATTATTGGCTCTTGTAAAAGCTGGAGTAGGATGTAACATTCTGCAGAATAAATTGTCATGGAATTTTTTTAAAGAGCTGAATATGCTGCTCAACAGCTGCTTTGTTCTCCTTGGCAACAATATTTCTCTAAGAAATTTAGTACATATAAATGAGAGTTCGGATTTATGTCCCTTTTTAGAAATAAAATTCATTTTTTTCTTTTTATTTCCAAATTTCTTAAATTTTTCCCTGTTTCCATCATTTTATTTTCAATTTATTTCAAAGAAATACATGCTTATGATAAAAATATAGTACAGAAAGGGATTATAATGGAAAGCAACGTTCCGTTCTAGGCAGAGTTCCTGATTGCCTCTTCTTATCCTTGATTTGCTCCTTAGAAGCCCCTTTTTTTTTTTTAAAAAAAGATTGGCGCCTGAGCTAACATCTGTTGCCAGTCTTCTTTTTTTTTCCTTCTTCTCCCCAAAGCCCCCCAGTACATAGTTGTATATTCTAGTTGTAGGTGCTTCTGGCTCTGCTATGTGGGACGCCGCCTCAGCATGGCATGATGAGTGTTTGCCATGTTGGCGCCCAGGAGCGAAACTGGCAAACCCCCGGGGCTGCTGAAGCGGAGCACACACTTAACCATTGGGCCATGGGACCAGGCCCTAGAAGCCATTTTTAACTGTTTATTTTTAATTGTTCTTGCGGTTACTATCAAAAGACTAAATAATATGGTAGTACCACTATTCCTTGGTTTATTTTAAAGCTTTAGCTGTTATCTGTCAAATTCATGCTATGAAAAATGAAGCGCACTCGCATTATTTATTCTCCACCCCTCCTAAAGTTCATTATGCTATTAGTTTTAGTTATTCTTTTGAAAGTTTAAATAATGTAATTGCTAACAAAGTCTGAGGACAAGTAGTCCAGCTCACAAACAGAGCTTCCAATTGGCCATTCTATTTAAGGGGAGACTGGCAGGAAACATACCTGTATACACAAAAACAGAGAAAACCCATAGCGGCTTCCCAGAAAAATTTATGGGTATCAATGACTAACCGAGGATCAAGTTAGATAAAGAAAGCAAGCAGCATGAAAAATAAGAAAAACAAAGTCATGGGCCAAGAAAAAAACTGAGGTAAATCAGGGAACATAAGATCTTAAAATTTTTAAATTAAATTTAAGAAGATAATTATCCCATCAAATAAGGAAAGAAGCTATGAAAAAGGAACAGGAAATAAGAATGAGCTCTTGGAAATTAAGAAAATTAGTTACTTAAAAGCTAATTATTTAAAAATTACAGCATCCCTCCCACCACCTGCCAAATGCAATAGAAAATACAAAAGTTAAAGTTGAGGAAACCTACAACAAAAGGAAATAAGAAATATGAAGGGAGTTGACATGGAGGAACTACCCCCGGAGTCAAGTGTAAAGAAATCCCAGATGACAGCAGTACACCAGATCCACATTGGGCTTCAAGAAATGTCTTTTGAAAAACAAAGTAACATCTATGCCATAAATAATGAAAAGCTAGAAGATGTTAATGATATGGTGAAGATGGCATGTTATTTCTGGCAACAACAATGTCAAAAAAAGGAAAGCACTTATCTGTGAATGGAAGAGAGGAAGGGAGGGGAGGATGGAGGGAAGGAAGGAAGGAAGGAAGACCTGAATAAGCAAGTTATGGTCCAAAAGTGAAGCAAATTAAAATAGGGCATGATTTTGAACAATTAATTGGTGGAGCTTAAGTTAAAAATCCTTTTGATCTTAACACCTTCAGAAGACACAAGGTGGGCCAGAAGAGAAGGAGATTTTATCTGAGCCCGCTACGGAGGTCTACAGTGAACTATA